CTTAAATGTATGTATGTAGGTCAGAAGTATGAAACTCTATCGTCTAGGTAAGCATGTATCAAAGTAGGAAAGTAGAAATCCACAGATTGGTGAAAGTTGTGTTTTGCCGCACAGAGAATTATGATCATGGAAGAACTAGGGATGAATGATGGAGAAATGTGCAACATTCTGAATTAATATAATCCAGGGAAAATCATTCTGTTAGGTGGTATGAATGGGAACTTGTTGAAAACATACAGAAAAAACAATTCAGTTATTTGGAGACTCAAGAATGAGAATGGTGACTATTTGAATTTCTGTTTGTTTCTAAAACATGGTTTAAGCCTAACTGCACTCCTTTCATATGTGCACCTGAAGAAGGAATTAATTAAAAGGCATATCTGTGATGAAATAGTAAAAGAATCAGTGAAGGATTTAAGAGTGATAAAAAGTTCTGAATGTGGGAGAAATTATAATTGGATAGTGCCAAGAAGGGGTTTGGGGGGGGGGGGAATGAGTATGAAAGAAAAAGAAAGATGTGAAAGAAACGAGTGAAAATAGAAGCTGTGTATGAAAAAGTATTTCAAGATAAATTAATCCTCCAACATCATCATCATCATCATCATCATATTGGATTTAATACAAAGTGGGTGTAGAGAAAGAAGATATGGAAGCATTTTGAGATATACCCATAGTGAGAAGAACCTTGCTACAGAAGGCCACAGGAAGGTGTGGAGTCACTCTAATGGAAAGTAGGAAAAAATATGTTTGGTGCGATGAAGGTGTTACAGAGGGGTTACATTCATGCTTCTGTGTGCTTCAGAGCACCTTTTAGAGAGAGTGTTTTACAACCTTATTTTGTGTGTGTGTAGTAGGAAGTCGGGAAGAATGACGGTCTTCTCCAAAACAATGGAATTTTGCAACACTTTAGTTTACATTTAATTCATGGAGTAATTATGATGAATAAACTGGGTAACTAATAAACTGGCGAATTAATCTGGAGCATAAACTTAGAGTTGTTGAGAGTTGGGTGACATACAAGTTTAATAAATTATTATTATCATTAGAAATTAGGAAAGAAATGACAGATTACTCCCTGAGTTGTCTTTTGCCTGCTTTTGGATTTGTGCTTAGCTAAGCTTTGATGTTTCAGTTTGATAGAAAAGGTGACATTGTTAGGGCTTTGTGCAAGGACAGACACTATTTTCTCTGCATTTTTTCATATTTGTGGGGCTGTAAAGTAATATAATAATTTATTTATTAGGGATAATTTGGACAGATAATTGGCTGGCTTTGCCTTTTATTAAATTTAGCTAAAATCAAGTAATTATTTTAATTTTTAATTTATTCATTTCTATCACTTAACAAGCTCTGCCTCTCGCATTATATTGCTGTCTAAAAATATAAATCAACCCATACTTTAAAACCTAGTTTTAAAGTAGCCTTGTGCTCCAGATAGTTAAAGCCCTAAAAGTTGGTCAGGTCTTCACCACTTTCTGAAATGCTAACAAAGTGGGGGCCATCTTGTAAGTAAATTATTCCAGAGGATGAGACCCACCCTTTAAGGATTCTGCTTCTGGGCTTCCATCCTCCTACACTTTAAAAGATGGGAGACCTATGACATTCCCTCCAAAGCTGCACAAACAAGATGGTCGTCTTCTGTTTAGAGGAGATGGTTACCTGGACTCAAGCCATATATGACTGTAAAGGTTAATAGCAGCATCTTTCACTGCACTCAGAAACATACCGGCAACCAACACAGTTGAGTGAAGCAGTTCTTACCCACAGCCAAGTGGGCTGCTGCATTCTGTATCAACTCATATTTACATATATAAATATACAACACAACTGCATACAGAATAGGTATCTTGTGAATCTCCAAGTTATCAGCCCTTAAATAAATGGCCACCTGGAGTGGGCTTGGGCTCTGAAAATCCAGTTTGTGTTTTAGAGTGCCCAAGCTTTCAAGATGCTTCTGAATCCTTTGACTTGGCATTGGCTCACTTGCTCTGATATTAAAAAGGCTTGAAAGCAAGAAACAGTCTCTGAGGCTTTAGAATATGAACTTCATCTCCACCTTTCCAGTTAGTTGGATGACTCTGTCTTGATATGTTTGGCTTTACATCGGCATACACAAAATCATCTACCCGTTTACAGGATGCATCTTTAGTACTTTTTATAAAATCCATTACAGCATTTAAAGCAGTTTGCATAGGTGACCTTAGGGATACTTAGAAATAACTGTACAGTGCTGGTATTTTTCCTATTTTGTAAATCAGTATGGTCTTATGAGACAGTGGCTTATGGCCATATAAGAAGTTCATAGTTAAGTCATGTCTTGAATCAGCCTGTGTAATTTTAAACAGATTTGGATATTTCTAGAGTCACTAGGGGAATGAATGACTTTCTAAACAAAAGGCAGATGGGCTTTCAGCTCTGATGTTGACTGGGTGAACAAATTAATTCTCCGAAAAACACTCATGGTCATAAGAACTCTTGATGGGAAGTTTAAACATTCACCAGCATTGCTTAAGTTCATTGTGTTCTCTTTATATATAGTATTGTCCCACTTACAAATGGAAATGCGTACTTACTCATGCAATACGTGTAGTCAGGAAGTAGATTGTAGTCTACTGATAGATTTGCACTGTATTACCCAGATGAGAAATCTGCTACTTATTTAGAAGTTTATTACCTTTCATCGGGCCTTTGTGTAATTCTGCTAACCAGGTTTAAAGCTGTGTTAGATCTGTGGTCCTTCTAATCTTCAGTAACTTAAAATTTCTACAACCACCCATTCACTGTGTTCTTTCCCCCCCCCCTTTTTTTAAAAATATTTTTTATTAAAAGAAGATTTTGCAAAGATTTGAAAAACTACAGAAACATAAAAGAAGAAGTAGAAAAAGAAAGAAATTGCAAAAGGGTAATAGGAAAAGTGAAGCAAAACAAAAAGGAAAGAAAAAGATATCTAAAGAAGCGACTTCCTATCTTCTTTGCAGCAGTTACCAGCGTAGCAATTACTATCTCCACCCTCTTATATTGCATGTCATGGTTCCCTTGTTCCCATAGATAAACTTTTTAAATAACTTTTTAATCAATAAATCCTGAAATCACGTTCATTTTTATCCATTTCCAGCAAAAAGTCCATAAAGGGTTTCCAGTCTTTTATAAAAATAGTTGTAGTTCCCTCCTTAATCAAACAAGACAATTTAGCCATTTTGGCAAACTCAGCCATCTTCACAGTCCATTCCTCCATTATTGGTGCTTCATAATCTTCCAACTTTGCACACTGCCTTGCTGCAGTTACCATATTCAACCAATTGTTCATGAGCCTTTTCTAGTTGACTGTCCATAAGTCCTAATAAGAAGAGTTCCAGTTTCATCTGAAAGTTAATTTTTAGAACTCCCTGCAACATCTTATGTATTTGTATCCAATATCTTCTAGCTTTTTTTCACAAGTCCACCATGTATGATAAAATGTCCCTTCATGTTTTTCACATTTCCAACAATGATTAAAGGTACCTTTATTCATCTTAGACAATTTCTCTGGTGTCATACACCAACGATACATTATTTTTAAAAAGTTTTCTTTTAAGTTGTAAGACAATGTGAATTTCAGACCTTTTAAGCACATTCTCCCCATTAATCCATTTGAATATTATATCCAAAATTCTTGGCCCATTTTAACATACATTCTTTAACTTGCTCTTCCTCCATTTCAAATCTCTGCAAAAGTTTGTACATTTTATCAATCACATGTTCATCATTTGTACGCAGTTCATTTTCAAATTCCGTTTTATCATATTTTATTCCTTATCTATAATAAATCTCTTAATATTGCATATGAGAACCATTGAAAACTAAATCCCTCTGCAGTCAATTCTTTTCTTGATTTCATCTTAAACTCCCCGTTTTCCTGTACTAACAAATCTGTATATGTTAACCATTTGTCTCATGCCCGCTGTTTCTTTTCTGTAAAACCTTTCCTTTGCTGAGGCCAACAAAGGTATTTTCAGCATAACCTGGGTCTGCATCAATTCTATATCTGTAGTATGGCATTCCTAATATAATGATTTTTAAAATCTACATTTACTTTAACTTTATCATGCCATAAGTAACCATGCCACCCAAACCTCTGACCATTCCTAAAACTAGGAATCTCTTATTTCTTAACAACAGACATTCCTTCATCCAAGCCAAACAGGCAGCAAAATACAATTTAAAATCAGGTAATCCAGTCCTCCTCTTTCCTTGGCATCTTGGAGAATCTTATATTTAACTCTTGGTTTTCCCCCCCTGCCATATAAATCTGGATATGGCTTTTTCCACTGTTTAAATGGTACATTGGTTCTCAAAACAGGTATTGTCTGAAATAAGAACAACATTCTAGATAACACATTCATTTTTATCACATAAATTCTTCCCAACAATGATAAATCATAAATCCTTCTTAATTTCATTCCATACTTTAACATAGTTATTTTGAAATAACATACCATTCATGTTAGTTATAGTAATACTCAAATATTTCACTATTTTCTCATTCTGAAATCTAGTTCTTACAGAAAATTCTTTTTGGTCTTCCATCTTCATATTCTTGTCAACATCCTTGTTTTTTCCTTACTAATTTTAAATCCACCCAATGCACCAAATTCCCTTAGTCTTCCCATTAATACATCTATCCCTCCTAAGGGGTTCTCCAGAATTAAAACCAAATCATTGGTGAATGCCTTTAATTTGTAAACTTTTTTTTTTAACTTTCCAGCAATTTTCTCAACTTGTCTTAGGGCTCCATTCAAAACTTCAAGTGCCAGAATGAATAACAATAGAGAAAATGTACGTCCCTGCCTCGTTCCTTTCTGTATTTCACAGGGCTTGGTCAATTCCCCATTCACAATTATTTGTGCCATTTGTGAAGTATATATTGATTTCACCCATATAATAAAGTTTTCTCCAAAATCCAAAATTTTAAATAGAAAAGTCCAGTTTAAATTGTCAACCATTCCCTGTGTTCTTGTAATTGGCAGTACATTAATTAGCTCCATTCTTTTTCCCAACATTTTTCATTAGCTTCTCCATCCGTATTTTGCACTTGGCTCTGGTTGGTAGACTTTGAGGTTATAGTAAAAGAAAAAGAAAAAGAAAATCAACCATACCAGTTAAAATATGCATTTCTCTGATGTACAATTCTGTGACTGAATCATTAGCCCACAGAAGTCATCCCAAGTATTCTGATTTCATCATTTATTGATTAAATACAGTTAAAAAATAACATTTTGGAATGCTTCACTTATTTGGTTCCTGGAATGTATGTTACTGCAAAGCTTTTTTATCAACTGTCTGGAAGAGGGGAAATGGGTAATAGTGTTTGATTATATGAAGTGCAAATAAGTTCTTGATGTCTTACAAGATGTTCTTATCTTGCTGGAGACATTGAAGCTTGCTGTTTAAAAAAGGACAGTTTTTATACTCACGTGCTATTTTTTTGAACTGAGACAAAACAGGCTCATAAAGGTCATAATAGATTTGTTCAGGTTTGCTGTTGTTTCGAATAAACAGGAGATCTTCCACTCTAACTGGATCAGTCTTCCCTTGCCACAAAGTCAGACTATACCTAGAAAGAGCAGATACTTGGGTCTCAACAGAGATTCTCAAACTGTGATGTCAAAGGCAGAACTTACATAGTTGCTGTCTTCACACATACCCAAATTTTGATTTAATCATGATTTATTGAACAAACCAAGGTAAGTCTTGCAGATGAGAAAGTAATAATGGCTTGTTCTGTCAATTCTGATTTATTATTTATTTCTACTGCAAGTTTCAAGAAGAAACCAGTTCTGAATCGGCCCTGTCAAACCAGATGCGATGGGATTGCCTCTTCCAGAACTCTCAGCCGACATGGTCATTTGGCTAAGAATTCTTAGAACTGTTCTTTAATTACACACAGAGCACATACATGAGTGAGGAAAGCTGGTTTGAGTACATCAAGATATGGCGTGCTGTCAAACTCTCACCTTTTGGATTGACTCAGAAGCCAACTCAAATGAGTCCAGGCTGGTTTTGCCATGACAGCTCTTACTGGGAAAGTGATTTGCTGAGGCAGTTTTCCCACAAGGGTATGCATTTCTTCAACCATATTCTGTGTATAAGTCTTGTTTGGAAAGAGAGGTAAATAGAGGGTTGTCCATCCTGGGGAGATAGTGCAGTTTGGAAACTTCTTTTGAACGAGAGTCAGGAATCTAAGAAACAATCAGTAACAGCAATACAGTCACAGTTCCACACACATTAGAAGAAGAAAGACATTGTAAATCTTCTCCACACTGGGCTAGGTATGATTTGATGAATATCTGTTGGACAATTTGATTTAGAAATAGCAATTAATGTCCAGAGACTCAGTCTGGCTCCCAGTGAGTTTCTACAGCAGGGTGAGGACTTGAATTGAAATCTTCCTGGTTCTAATCCAAAATCTAGAAAACCCTGTAGAAAAGTTTATCAGGAACACCTTACTCACATGATAAATCCACCATTTCATTAGGGAAAGATAGACTTGGCATGTGCTTTGTGGGAATCACATGTGACTTTCTGTCTGTGGTAGCCAAAGTGTCTGGCACATGCTTGCACATGTAAACTTCTAATCAAACTGCTATCTCAGATCTTTAGGACAACTTTATTATAGATTGTGCTTGTTATCCTATTACCGATCAGCTGTAAGCACAATATTCAGCTTCTTATCTTAGCTAAGGGCCACAACAATAAAAATAAATGCCTTCTATAAAAGAAATGTTTCCTTAATATATAGTGTCAGAGAAGGAGGGGTCATAGCTCAGTGGTAAAGAATCCTGGATTCAATCCTGGTATATCATGATAGGCTTGGGAAAGCTACTGCCATTCAATGTCAGCCAGTCTTTTTTTTAACTTAGTGTCAGCTATTTGGATTATGACTCCTATTATCTCCAGCCAAAGATTCTAGGAGGAACCAGATTGAAAAAGGCTGGCATAGACAGAACTAAGGTCAATGAACCAATGGTTTGTCTTGACTTAAGGTGGCTTTCTGTGGTCCTTGGAAATAAGTAGTGTAAAATATACTTTTATGTGAATGTAATAAAGGTTCATTTTACTCACTGGCTTGCATTAACTGCAATATCAAAAGGAACATTTGGGCCTTTCAGAATATCTGCATTTAACCACACAGGTCGGTCAATAATCAACTCAGAAGATGTTTTTACTAAGATATCCAAAGATGGGCCCACTGTCCTGATGTTTTTGAAATCCAGCTTGATCACTATTTGGAAGAACAAGAAATTCTTGTGAAAGCTTTATTTCCCTTGCCCATTCATTACAATGTGTGTCTCTTTTTTATTATTATACCTTTATTGGATAACCTGAGCACTGCCTTCAGCCAATCCTGAAGAGTATTATCACTGTACACGTCAGGAGGGTGGGCCATAATGGGCTTCTCTGTCTCATTGGGTGTATTGTATCCTTCAAGGGTGACATCAGATTCCAGTGCCATGACATCAGCTGTCCTCAGACAGAGGGACAAAGAGAGAACATTGAAAATGAAGGGAGCCCTTTCATGGAAGCTCTGTAGGCACAGTGGAACATCTTATATGCATAGAAATTACCAACAGCTTCATTTCAGATTTGAGGAGCTGGGAAAGGATGGGAACAAGGATTAAAGTAGTACTGTGTAGAAAAACATCCGGTAATTTTTGTTAGTATATAGTACAGTGATTCCCTGGAAGAGAATTTGCTTTAGATTTTTTTCAAAGGAAGAGGAAATCTCAGTGAAATTCTCAAGGATGAATTCTGGTGATTCTGTACTTATTTAGTTATGATTGGGCCCAATAATTCATTACGTTCTACCAACATCTCTCCAACAATCTGTAGCCTCCTTGGCTTCCATGCTTCAACTGAAATCTCAAGGGATGACATAAGAACAAACCTTTCTCATCAGTCTTTTTCATATTGGTAATGTGGGCTAAACTATATTCTCAGCCACCTCCAACAATAAACTCAAAAACACCACCAAGAGAAATTCAGAGGATATTCTCAAACACCCTGAGCAGGACAGAGAGAGAGAAAATCAGAAAGTTTCTTTTGTGTGAGGGGCTTTTGAGAAATTGCAAGCAAATTTTGGCATATCAAATCCCAGGTTCAGTTATTAGCATCAAGTAGGGCTGGAAAAACTGTTGAGAACATCTGTCAATCAATGAGCTAGATAAGTCAATGAGCAACTCTAAGGTAGCTGCTTATGTGTTCCTAGATGCTGTCAAAAGCCTGTGCTTCTCTTTTAACTTTTATTCTTGGCTATTTTTAAAATTAAAATATTCAGCAAATATGGCTACAGGATGGCACAATTTTCTTAAGTAAAATGACTGGCAGATTTTTGGGTGAATACAGTAGCATTAACAAGCTGTGACGATGACACAAGCCTCTTGGTTGCTTTTACTACACAGCCACACATTCTGACATTTGGTCTTTATTTTTAACCAAATTGTCACAGTTTCAGTCCAGTAATATTGTCATTTATTACATCTCACTATTCCCCAGAATGGATACCTTCCTACTTTTTAAAATCAGCATTTAATTTTTCAGTGTTCCTAGGTGGTTCTGAGCTAATAACAGCCATCATCTCCAACCAGAATAGCCAATGATCAGAAATGTTAGGAATTATGGTCTATCTGGGAACCAGGTTTGGCCAGTCTTATATAACTCTTCAATTTGCTCTTCAAATCCTTCAAAGGACTTTTTTCATGGGGGAGGGGGGAACCAAATTACAAAGGAAGAAGTATGACTATTTAAAGATTATTTACACAATACTAAAAATTCATTCTAAAAACTACATAGTATAGTTTTAATCTGCAGGATAATCATTTCCTAAGTAGGTGGAATTACATTGATTTTCTGCTTGGAGTGGACTTTTTGATTCTTCTACACTGGGCATCTCTGCAATCTTGCTAACTAATCATCATCTCAGTGAGACTTTCTTTATACCATGTCTATTATGTGAGGAGGGAATTTCAATTGCTCCTGTCCCCCCTGAATTCTTCAGTTCTTCATAAAACATGTGATTTTCCTCTCACCCAAATAAAGTGTTGATGTGCATAAAAAGGTGGTATAAATAAATTTGATAAACAAAGTGCAGGATTCTACCCTCCTGTCCATTCCATACAAAATGCAGTGTTTTATACTCTAGAAGTTGCTTTTCTCATGCAACTAAAACCATTCACTCATTTTTATCATTCCAGTTTAAGCTATCTGCACTACAGATTTCAAGGCCTTGATTAACTGTAAAAAATAATGTGGTTCATCTGCTAAAGTATAGCAGAATTTTTCAGTTGTGGTGTTTATAAACTACTTCTTGGTTGTCTGAAGAAATTTTAAATTGATATCTTTAAAGCTAAAATTAAACCAGAAAGTTAGGAAATGACTTGTCTCACACTGAGAAAAATTTGCAAAGTATTGCAGGCATTTTGCCTATTAATTAAAGCTTATTTATATTTTTTATTCCCATTAATGAGTTGATAACTCCTAATTCTACAACAATAATTTAATATGGATTTCCTGAGATGCATTCCTGTGAACAGCACAATCAAGGAAGGGAACCTCCCGTAATGTCATGTACTCCAAATCTGTTGAACTGCATCTCTCATCATGCCAATCCAACATGGTATTTGCAGTCCAACATATCTACTGCTCTTTACATTACTGAAGGCTGCCTTAATCTTGGAACTCAAGGTGTCAACTCAAGGTGTCGTTCCCCCCTCTCCCGCCCTCCATTGGACTCTTCTTTTTTTTTGGATAGAGAAGAGGAAGGGCATTTATTTTTCAGGAAGCAGGTAGAAAAATATCACACCACTTTCAACAACTTGCTTACTTACTGCCACTAACCTGTCCACTCAGGTGTGGTCACCTGATGGTGAGGGAGGCATTTCTTTTATAATCTGTTTCCAGAATTATACATACAATCAGAAGCAATTGTAGCTAGGTGAACTTGCCAGTTTCTGCTATTACTCTTTCTTACTAAGGTGCTACATGGCTAGCTGGGGAATTCTGGGAATTGAAGTCCACACATTTTAAAGTTGAAGGTTGAGAAACCCTGGTTTAGAGGCTTCCATACAATGTCCTCTTTACACTTTCTGTGGGCTTCTTCATTGTGGTTCATTAATAGAAATTTGAAATCAAGGATACGATGTAGACAGTGATGGTTTCAGCTATTTTCAACAGCTCTGTTGAACTGTTAGATCTGTCTTCATCCTCCCAGCCTTACAAACTGCAGAGCAGTGGGACAGGTTTGGCAGCATCTTCACAATCCTAATTGCAAATCTACCCTTCTCTCCTATAAAAAGTTCTGTAACTTTTGGAAATGGTGGAGTTTGACTATGCCAGCTGGCTGGTGTGTGCTAAGTGACATCATTTGCTAGCCTTTTCCTCAGCCCTGGAGCAATTCTGCAAAAATTTTATTATGCAAAAATAAATGGACCATGTATCACTTCACTTTTAGGGGGAAAATGGAATTGGACAGCCTGCTTAAAGGAGGGGTGGGACAAGGAAGACTGCCAGTTCAGTCTAACCTTTGATTTCCAGTAAGTTGTTGCTGCTATTATTTTTCTTAGCATTTATCCCAATAGTTGAGGGTCTACAATACTTATTTTTGCACTGCACTTGCCAATTCTTACAATGAAGCTTATCAGTGAATGATGCAATAAGAGGTTTTGTTTACCAGTTGGCTTGTCACAGAGCCTGACACTGATTAGGATAGAAAGGAATGACTCACCCAAGGTCACCTAGCTGGCTTCTATGCCTAAGAGAGGACTAGGACCTAGGTTTTCTAGCTCCTAGTCCAGCACCTTAAATACTACACCACATGGCTCTCTAATTACCAGTATGGTAGTGTGTAAATAGTTTGTAAAGCCAAGGTCATATAGTAGAAGATGAAACTGCCTGTTGTGACCACAATTTTTAATTTCAGAGCTCTATCTCCTGCCAATAAGGGCAGACCCAAGACATTTGGCCAAAAACATGCCCTTTCTTTATTCCATTTTCAGGAACTGACTAGACAATCTACTGTATCTTACTTCCAGGCTGATAATGGAACAGTTCCCTCTACTATGCATAGAGGGAATAGTCTAATTTGGCGCTGGACAACAGTTTGTGGAATGCTCAACATCCCATCACCATCAGGGTCTGCAACTGTTACCTGAGACAGCCTTATCACTCTTCCAAATTGTAGAGCCAGCCCTCCCTCCCTCAGTGCTATAATGAAGATGGTAGATTTACTCCTGCTAAGAGTTATGAACATTATTTGCCCACAAGGGAAAATATGTGAGTTTGGTGGCGGCATTAGACTAACAGGAAAAAAGATTATATAGATTTACAGTAGATTTTAGTATGAAGCATATCATGGCAGAGAGAGAAGGAGAACAAGAAGGAGGAGGGCAGGTTGACCCATGTCATCTAGCCTGGTTGAACTGTAATGACATTGCTAAATCTGAACCATCTAACAGACATCTAAGCCCCTCATCTTGGAATGTCCTCCAGTACAGTTGCTATGTACGTAAGTGTCTCCATGACCACCTCCATCAGAGCAGGACAAAGAACATATTAGAGAGGAGACCCATGTTGGTGCTAGGCAGAGGGAACTGTGGTAGGTAGGGCAAATGCTAGATAGGGACTGGTTGGAAAAAGTGTAGTGAAGGATAAAGGGAACGAGAACTAGTACTGAAGTAGGTGGCTATGGAAAAAGATGGAATTGCTAAGAAAGTGGCAGGTGGGTAGAACTAATGCAGGGGGGAGGGCTGGGGAGAATATGCAGTGGAATGAGTGGGAAATAGAAAGCACACCAGAGAAAGAAACTGGAGAGCATCTGGGAGCTTCCAGTGCTCTGACAGCATTGTTGGCATAGCAGTTACCTTAAATGCAGTGAATACAATCAAAATGCCCGTGAACAAAAACTGGGCAATAATAGATAATGCAAAATGAAAAAATATGAGCAAAATTTACATAATTTATTCTGGTTGCAAGATTTATTTTTCTGGAGGGAGACTTTTGTTGTGCTTGTTTTTAAAGCAATTTCAAGACTCAGAATGTTGTTTGTCCTAAAATATAAAGACTGATGCTCACTCTTACTCTGGTGCATCTAGTCTGCAAATCTATACACATCTGTATTTAGGAAGAGATCTCACTGAGTTAACTGGGATTTACTTTTGATTCTTATGCTCTTTACTATGTATGTCCAAACTAGAAAGAAAACACAGATCTTACCTTCTAAGGCCTCTTCCATGGAACTCTTATTATTTGCAGCATGATACCATGTGACCAACAATCCATCTTTTCTGTCTATTCTCCTCAGATTAAGCAAATAATCTAATACGTCTCCACCTGAATAAAAGGACGGTCTTGGTGCCAGGTCTGAAAGATTCAATCAGGACATTGTACAAGAAATAAATACGTGCAACTCACGCTAATGTCTAGACCAGCCACCCCCCACTTGGCGGCGGGATGCTGTGGGGGGGGGGCGCAGCAACCTTATATTTGAGGGTTTTTGGTGGACCTAGGCGGGGCGCAAAGG